TCTTTGGAATGGGAACAAATATAGATCTCTTCCAGTCAGTTGGCCAAGTGGTTGTTCTCCAGATTTCTTGGCACAACTTGGTGAGCACATAAATTTAAAAAAAAAAAAAAATGAAAAAGAAAAAGCAACATTCTACCATAACTCACAGATAGGGCTTCAAAGACTTACTTTTGGATGCGTATTATTTTCCTTGACTAAAAGTTCTGGTTCTGAAAGAAAACTGATGAGATCCTGTACTTTCTGTGAAGAATCTTCAGGAAAATCTTCATCTACTAACTTGTTTTCCTCAAAATAAGTCATGTCTAAAATAGCCTGAAGAATCAAAACAAAAAGGATCTATAAATGATTTAAACATTAAAATTCTTACAGAAGTTTAACCAGAATATTTAAAGATTAGACCATATATTAAAGATGTTTCAGCCACCTTCCACATAGAGACCTGTTAAGGAGGTTGGTGGCCTAGTGGGTAAGGAGTCTAACTATCAAGGCAGAGGTAACTGATTCAAACCCACCAACAGTTCTGAAAGAGAAAGGCAGATAATTTTGTCCTGTGCTATTTACGGCCTCTGAAATCCTGCTGGAAGATTAGCTATGAGCTGGTTATGATTCAATGGCACATAACAACATCATGATGGAGACCTGTGTTTCCCAGCCAATGAATGCACTTCATGCACAGCTACCACGAACCTATCAGCAGAGGCTGGTATGTTGCTATGATGCTAAAGAGGTTTCGTGGAGCTTCCAGACTAAGACTATAGAGAAAAGGTATTGAGATCTACTTTGAAAAAAATCCGTCAATGAAAATCCTGTGAATCCTAAACAGTTTAGCCTGTAACTGGTCATGAGGATGGGGTCACCATGACTCAGGAATAGACTTGACAGTAAGTATTATAACCAGCACCAATGAACTTAAATTGTAAAAACAGGCAAAATGTTTAGAAAATGGCAAAATTCAAAATAGGTCTTACAAAAATAATATCAAAGGTATTTTACTGAAATTCTGTCTTAATAATTTTGCTTCCCTCAGGGGGAAGGAATAGCTCAAGAGAGGAAGACACTCTATGAGATGGATCGATTCAGAGACTGGGGTAATGGGGTAGGTGTGTCAGGGTCAGTGAGATTGGCACAAGACAGAGCAAGAGTTAGGGCTGTTGTACATAGAGTTGCAGGTGACACAACGACACGTAACAATAAAAACATGTTATAATTATTACAAATTAACATATATAATGTAATTATAAACGGAGCTCTGGTGGTATAATGGGTTACGTGCTGGGTTGTAAACCAAAAAGCTAACAGTTCAAATCTACCAGGAAGGCCAAAGGAAAAAATGAGGTAAGTCTGCTCCTGTTAAGATTTACAGCCTTGGAAAAAGGTAGAGGGTCACCATTAATCATAATAAAAGTTGAAACAGTGGTTTTGATTTAGATGTAATTTTAACAATTACAATTCATTTCTATATATCTTTACACACACGTAAGTTTTCGGTGTCAAGCTTATTTTGGCTCATAGCAACCCTAATTGAGAGGCAGAGCCGCTCCCCTTGGTATCCTTTTTTTTTTAAAAAAAATTTTCTTATTTTCATTTTTTATTATTTTGTGTGTGTGTACCGTCAAATCGGAACTGACTTGTACAGGAGGAGATTGTCCCTCCTTCTCCGACAGAGCATCTGGTGGATTTGAACTGCATAATTCCGGAACTGTAGTGCAGCTT